TAAAGAAGTGATGTATGCTGGTAGATTACCCGCAAGTGATTTATAAATAAATAGCAGCCAATGCCGTTCACGTCTAACTGTTAGTGAAGGCCAACCAACTTTATCGTACAGGATGCAATGATGAGTGGAATATTTGTCACCAGTGATAAATCTGAGAGCGGAGTGATAAACTGTGTCTAATGATTTTAGGGTGGAGGCAGAAGCATGTCTATAAATGACATCCCTGTAGTCCAGAACAGATAGGAAGATGGCTTCAGTTATTCACTTTCTAGTTCACTTTGTTTCTGTACAAGTATCCAATTTTCTGTCGTAGTTTAGTGGGTAATGTATCAATGTGAAATTTAAATGAAAGGGATTGATCCAACCAGATGCCAAGATATTTATAATGGGGTACTCTTGTGACCTTCCAGAGTTGTTATATGCAAGTCATTGTCTATGGTATTTCTGGCTCATGTAAAGAGCATGTATTTAGTTTTGTCTGCATTCAGTAATAATTTTAAGTCAAGGAGTGCATTTTGTAATTTGTGAAGTGCTTCTTGTAAAGTTTCCATTGCTAAATGTGCAGTCTCAGCAAAACAATACAAAACTGTGTCGTCAGCGTAGAGATGGGCCTTACAATTTGTAAATACAGAAGCAATATTATTAATATAGATCGTGAACAGCACAGGACCCAATACAGAACCTTGTGGAACTCCTTTTGATAGTGGTACGTATTCAGAGCGATCAGATTGTACAGTCACACATTGCAATCTATTAGACAGATAATTCTGGAACCATTTAAATGAGGAGTTGTCAAAACCAACATCATGTAGCCTCTGCAGGAGTATGGTGTGATCAACAGTGTCAAATGCTTTAGTTAAATCAACAAAGAGGGCAGCACAGTATTTCCCTTGATCAACAGCAGATACAATATTATTTATGACAAAGGTAATTGCTGATGTGGTGCTGTGTTTTTTTCTGAAACCAGACTGGTGAGGACTTAATACAGAATTTCTTGAAAGGAATGATTTTAGTTGATTGTTGACTAATGTCTCCAGGATTTTAGAGAGGCTGGACAGTTTGGAGATTGGTCGGTAGTTGTTGAGTTTATTTTTGTCGCCGCCCTTATGCAGAGGGACGATGTGTGCTGACTTCCAAACCTGAGGGACAACTCCAGTGGTAATTGAAAGATTAAAAATATAGGAAATTTGTTCCTTGATTAGAGGGGCACAGAGTTTTAAAAAGTACGGCTCTAGATTATTTTCTCTTCTTGCTTTCCTAATATCTATAGAGTGCAGAGCCTCCATTACAGCAGAGGAAGTGAAGGCCTGTATAGTAAATTTAGGGGAATGGTTGTGGGAAGTAGGAATATGAGCCAGCGGCCGGATATTAACAGTGTTTCCAGAGTACAATGTTTCAAAGTGACTCCCAGAAGCAGCAAAATGGAGGTTAAAAGCACGGCAAATATCTGAAGTTTTATTTGTTTGGCCTTCATTTAAAATAACATAAGAAGGGAGAGTTGGGGAGGATTTATTTTTGTTTTATATTCACTGCTTTCCAGAATTTTGATGGGTTTGAAGAGCAACTAGAAATCAACTCCTGGTGATAAGAGGTTTTAGCTTTTCTCAGTGAATATGTGCATTTATTTCTGAGTTGTCTGAATAAAAGCCAATGGGCTGCTGTGCCTATCTTTCTTGCTAATGCCCAGGCTTTGTCCCTTTCCTTTAAAAGTAATGATAATTCAGTGAAGAACCATGGGCTTGATCTATCTTTAACCCTTAACTTTTTAAAAGGTGCATGCTTGTCAATAATTTTAAGAAATGTATTTGTAAAATATTCAAGTGTATGATCCACATCAGGTATTTCAGATGTTTGACATATATTACTGTTCACAATGTCATTAAAAAACACCTGTTCATTAAAATTTCTGAAATTTCTCTTGAGTACAATCTGGGGCTTAGATTTTGCTAGTCTAGCACTCCTTATACATGCCAGAGGACAATGGTCACTGATATCTAGGGAGAAGACCCCAGAGGCTGTAATTTTGTCCCTTCTATTGGTAAAAATTAGATCAATCAATGTTGATTTTGAGGGATCTTTCAAATTAGGTCTAGTTGGTTTAGTTATAATCTGTGATAGTTTTAGATTGTCACACATCTCCGTTAAGCTCAATGAATCATTTGACAACCAATTTAAATTAAAATCACCCAAAACCAGGATTTCTGAAGTACTGAACTGAGAAAACATTTCTGTTAATTGATTAATAGCACTGGGATTAGCTGGTGGTGGTCTATATACACCTAGCACAGTCAATGATCTGTTACAAGAGATTTGAATTTGTAGAGCAATACATTCAAACGAGTGAGGTATAGAGACGGTATTTAAAACAGTAGCAGATATAAAGTCCTTTACATTTATAGCCACGCCATCTCCTCGTCCCTCTCTGTCTTTTCTGTACAAGTTGTAATTATTTATTGCAACTTCCGAATCATGGATACTCTTTTTAAGCCAAGTTTCTGTCAGCACAAGGATATCTGGGTCAGTTTGTGATACAAGAGTTTTCAGATGATCTAATTTAAACTGAGCACAAAGACTTCTAATATTTAAATGCATAAAACCTAAGCTATTTCTTGACTTAAAAGTCTGTGGGTTAAATAAAACTTGCTCAGAGTCACAGGAGGGCCCGCTAGCGCGTGGTTGCCTTGAGGATTTGGGTGGATGCCATCTCTATTAAAAAAGGATGCACGCTTCCAGAACATATTGAAGTTATCAATAAAAACAAGGTTGTTTGAGGAGCACACAGATTGTAGCCAGGTGTTGAGGCTAAGCAACCTGCTGAAGCGGCCTACACCTCGATGGAATGAGGGGATCGGATAAAAACTGATTTTTTGCAGTCCTTCAGTACATTAAAAAGATGATTAAAATTTTGCAACATGACATGCCTGATTTGAGATATATTACGAAGGTAAAATAGGCTGTCTTTGAAATGTGTTTTATGTGAGCTTTAAAGGACATATCTTTCCTAGATTCTCGACAGCAGTGCTAGATGCCAGGCTGATGTCATTAAGGACCGTTATATCTTTAGAAAACGTCTCTCTGAAACGTCTCTCTTTTTAGGGCCAAGCACTATAACTTCAGTCTCGTCTGAGTTAAGCAGCAAAACAATTCTATCAAGAAAGCTCTACACATTTGCTACACTACCATGTGTAGCAATTGTGCATTACTTCAAGGCTGAAAAAAATACACAATAAATGCTGTTATTATTCCTTTTGAAGAATATTTAGGAAAAACTGTTTCATAGCTGTTTTAGGAAATCACTAACGAGATCTTTTCTCATTATATCGAGATCTTTATCTCGTAATAACAAAAAAACAGGCAAAAAAAAAATTCTCCACATGAATGCAATACGCTTCCGTATATAGCTGCTGAAGTAAAATCAGAATAGTTTTTTACTTAAGTCTATTGTAGTAAAAATTGTCTGTTGTGTTTACTCAATTCAACTGTATTTTTAAAACTGTCGCATGGTCGTCATTTGTTTGGTGTAAAAACTTAAAAGAAAGCTTGTTTTGCACAAAGAATTGGCCTTGAGGAACTCCATAACAAAGAATGTCCGGAGAGACTTCTAGGCCCACCCATTACTTTCGTAACAATTCCAAAGGATGATTTGCATACTGCAGCGCTAAAAGCAAATTATGAGACACTTTTCTGAAAGCTTCAGAGATATATATCTTGTGTACACACATTTTTCCTCAGGGCAACCCGAAGGGGAAAAAGTGAGCAAACAAAATAAAACCATGTTGAGAGAGTTATTGTCATGGGTCAAGTTGAAGAGGAGCACATTGTTCTTGAGGCAGGTTGACACACACACACAATCTCATTGGTAGAGATTCACATAGCTTCACATTCTACTTTGTGTATGCTTAAATTGCTTCTTCATAATCAATATGGTAAGTGGTTAGCAACAGCCCTGTAATGATCACTACAATAAAGACATGTGGGATTACAAACAGGGGTACCGTTAAAGCTTCACTGGTGTTCTAGTAATACAGTGCCCAATAGAAATGTAATAAAACAACTTGTTTTGTTCACCAAGAACATTACAACAAGGCACTGAGTTGAAGGCTGGCAGAAGCGTGCAGCATTGAGCATATCCAAACTGACTCAATATAAAACAAGAATTTTTACCAATTCGATTTTTTTTTTTTTTTGGGGCGTGTTGTGCCTTTGTTGTAGAGATAGGACAGTGGATAGAGTCAGAAATCAAGGAGAGAGAGAGTGGGGAATGACATGCGGGAAAGGTGCCACAGGTCGGATTTGAACCAGGGCCGCCCGCTTGGAGTACTATAGCCTCCATAGATGGGGCATGCGCACTAACCAATGCAACATGAGCGCCCCACCAATTAGATTTTTTTAATGAATATATAGACCAAAAGTAGAGTAGTGAATCTTGCACATATGAGTATTATTAAGGCTTGGACTACTGACATTTGCAAACATTTACACTCTGCGTTTGCTCCTAAAGTTTATGAAGATTTTTTTCAAATTTGGCATGTTTGTGCCCTAATTGGTTGCTTCAAAACATTATATAACTCTGCAGTAATATTCCCAGTAACACAGGTATAAAGCATCAGTGTTGTTTATTTTCTTTTATCTTTTTTTCCCCAGGGATATTTTAGTTGTGATGATTTGTATGGTAAAGGTGTTATTGTACGGCCTTTTCACATCTTTGTCAGTCTTTTTTCTTATGAATGTCATCATTCCTGCTCCTTAAACTGTTTTTTTCTCTTTTAGATGTTATGATTGTGACAGGTCTCAGAAGGATATTAGCCTAGGGGAAGTCTCACTAATTCCCCCATCATCACAGAATTCTTTCTTCAATACACTTAATAGAGGAATAACTGATGAAAAATATCCTCAGGTGTGTTCTTGTGCACTTACATTCAGGAACCTTCGTTTTACAAATTCTAAAGGATGTACGTATTTTCCTCTTCATTTAATGCTCAATTTCAGTAACAGTGAGAATGTCAGGTAACACTTCCCTGGAGGGGATAATTCATACCTGAAAATCGTGTTCTTTGGCCTATACCGTCCCCTGTAATTTTAGCTTCTCTAAACCTTCCTGGGGGAGGGTAGAATGATGTAACACAGTGTGTATATAAGTACAGGAAAGTCTGCTGCAAAACCCAGACTAGACACTTCTAAGTCTCTTCTCTTGCAGGGAAGCAGAAGTTGGTTTGCAGGTAATAACCTTTCTTAATCATCCATCCTGACACTTTAAAATCTTTTGCATATCATGTGAGATTCAGAATTTTGTCATTTTGTCTTACTTCTTGTATCTCAGTCTGTCTAAAGCTCTTGTCAACATGCCTGGATGCACCTCTATCATCAACCTGAGCTACCAAGATGGCAGCGAGGGGAGCAGCTCCAACCCTGCTAAGTACAACAACCAGAACTATGGCCAGCTGAAGGACAGTCATGTCCGCCGAGGAACCGAGTTTGTGGACAAAACCTTCCCACCTAACAACAGCTCCTTGGGAGACTTGCCCAGTTTGCCCAGCTGGCGTGAAGCTCAAGTGGAGTGGCTCCGCCCAGCTGTAAGTACCATGAAATCATTTTTTTAGACAATTATACATTTTTATTTCAGTATGGAGAATATGAGAATACATATTTATTTATTTCCTTCACCGTTTTGAACAGGAAATCTTGAAAAGACAAGGCAGCAGTGATGAGGCTGTTTTCTGCAACAAAGGAGCCTCACGGTTTGATTTTGGTCAAGGCAGTGTGGGTAAGTAGGCAACACAAACACACAGCTCACGAGAACAAAACTCAATTGCATTGTGTAGCAATGTTTGACAAAATATTTGTTTTTCTTTGTTTGTCAGGTAACTGCTGGTTTCTGGCTGCCATTTCCGCCCTGACTTTCCATAAAAGCCTGATGGTGCAGGTTGTGCCTATGGACCAGTCCTTCAAGGACCATGCAGGGATCTTTCACTTCAGGGTAAAGGATCAATCAGAGCCAATGCTTTCATGATGAATCTGCAAAGTGCATTGTATTAAACCCCTAACATTGTATTCTTCTGACATGAATGTTTCAGTTCTGGAGGTTCGGCCACTGGGTGGACGTGGTCATTGATGATCACCTGCCAGTACTCGACAACAAATTGCTATCTGTCCGCTCAAAGAGTGGCAACGAGTTCTGGGTTCCTCTGCTGGAGAAAGCTTACGCAAAGTACGAAAACAAACTCGCTCATCTTCATTTTGAACACTGTAGCATGCTACATTAGGCAGCAGAATTGTCTAAACCATCCACAGAGGCAAAATTTGCAAACATACTTTTTTTTTGTCTCCTGCAGAGTGTGCGGTTCATACACTGACATGAACTCTGGCCTGCCATCAGAGGCCTGCAAGGATTTCAGTGGAGGCGTGAGCATGATGTACGAGCTTAGGGAGGTCCATGACGCTGCCCATGATGAGAAGCTGTGGATGTCACTCAGCAATGCCACTGGCTGCAACTCAATGGTTTGCTGTGGGACTGCCCAGAAAGGGGTAAGAGACACTTTTTTAGAAGTATAATTTCAATTAGCTAATCTTAGGAGGGATCTAATTATTTAGTCTGTTCCAGGGTAGATTGGTGAACACTGTAGCAAACACTGGGCTGGTGGATGCTCATGCCTATTCTGTCACAGCAGTAACAGAGGTAAAAACATTATTTTTTTGAAGGTGAAGGGTTAAAAGAAGATTTGAGCTGGGTCTGGTATGGAACATTTGCTAATGTATCATTGCATCTATAGGTCCAGTATTATGGCTCCAAAGTGCAGCTGGTGCGAGTCATGAATCCTTGGGGCCAAACAGAGTGGAGCGGAGACTGGAGTGACAAGTAAATAATTAGACTTTCATCTTTCTAAAAAACAGTTGCTTATACTGCAATACATCTGAAGACTTTTTTTTACTGTAAAGAAAACTAACCAAGAACACTCGTTTATTTTTGTTGCCCCGTGTGCTCAGGTCAGAGAAGTGGAATGGAGTGACCTCAGAAGATCGGGAAAAGTGTTTTGACCGGGATGATGGAGAGTTCTGGTAAACAAGATTAATTAAAAGTACTTTTACAAATTTTACAAAAAGTTTAATTTGCCAACTTGTAATGCAATCAATGGCTCCCCAAAGACTGATCAAAACATGGACATAGTCTTAGTGAAATCATCAATTGGTTTCTGAAGAGACATTTTGAAGCCCAACTATGTTGGACTGCAGAATTTTGACTCCAATTGACGTTTAAACAATTTTCTGACATTTTCTCATCTTTGTTGTTGTTGTCTTACTATGTCTATCTGTCAGGATGACATTGGAGGACTTCTGTCACTACTTCCTTATGCTGTTCGTCTGCTGTGAGAACCCTAACTTTATTGACGGAGACCTCGCCTGCCAGTGGCAGTGCATGGTTTACGAGGGCAGCTGGTCTCAGGCAAAAGTGCAGGCGGAAGCTGGGCAAACTGTGAGCACAATTCATTCTTTTACCTTTAACCCTCACCACAGGCCCAGCATGTTTGTTTTGTCTTTTTCATTTTCTTTATTAGAAAACCCACCTATCAGATCACAGAAGTTTTAATTACATGTTCATGTTTTCATCTCCTGTAGCTTCCTTTAACACAAATCCTCAGTACCGCATTGAAGTGACTAAAATCGATGAGACAGAGAAAGAAGACAAGAACATCCTGATTTCCCTGATGCAGAAACCTAAGGCACAGAATCGCAAACAGCAGAGATCCTACCCTATTGGAGTCACTGTCTACAAGGTTTGTATCCTGACTTTCCTTACTACAAATAGATATGAAGTTCCTTTTAACATTTTAAAAGACATAGAAAATGTGTATTATGTGTGGAACAAAATAATGTAATGTAATATGTAATGTAAATGCAGTAATGGTATGGTATTCATGGACATTATGACACATGTCAAACTATGTACTAAATGTTTTCTTCTTCTTTCTCATTCAACAGATTCCAGAAGGGGTAAGAGCAAACCTCACACTCCTTCTGTGCACACCAAACATATTTCACATTTGAAAAAAACAGAATAATGATGACGAGATTCTCAGGATAATATTTCATCCCATGAAATGAGGTTCATATTCTTTACAGACACCATCAGGACGCTTGCAGCGCTCCTTCTTCGACACCAACAGGCCCATGAAACAGACACAGTCTTACACCTACAACAGGGAACTTGTTGAACAGCACAGCCTGGTGCCCGGAGAGTATGTGATCATCCCCTCCACCATGAAGCCCTACATGGATGCAGAGTTTGCTCTCTCCGTCTTCACTAAATCCGAAGCTAAGATCACGTAAGGACTAACTGATACTTTCTGATAATAGATAACTTTTTATGAAGAGAAATATCATCAAATCGCTTGGTTGGCTCCTCCAGAAATCCTTCAGAAAAAGGAGGAGGCACAAAAAGAACTAATTGATCACATGTACTCCTCTGCATCCAGTCCCCATGATGAACATGATGATCATGACCATGAAGAAGAAGAAGCCGACCACAAAGAGAAGGAGAACTTGATCCTTCCTGAGGTATAAAAACTAGAAAACACAGAGAAAACTTCACCTGTCATTTAGAGGAATATACAAGACATCTGATCAGTTAACTTCTTATCTACAGGTACCTGGAAAGAAAGATGAGGATACCAAGGATTCTGTCCATGCCCTTTTCAAGCGCTTTGCTGATCAGGTGTGTGATTTGTTTCTGGTTTTACTCATCTTTGAATTGTTTTCCACTCTCCTGTTCATGTTTTGTTCTCTGTGTTGGTTCTGTTTTCAGAGAGGTGAGCTGAGTACCTTTCAGCTCCGCAAAGTCCTGAAAGACCAATTCCCTAACGGTGAGTTAGACTTATATCTGACTTATATCATGCACACTGCAAATGTATATGTTGTGTTTCAAAATCTATCTACAGTTATATAAGCTGTTGTGTTTTTTTGTGTTTCAATAATTCACAGGATCCAAATGGGGCTTTGAGTATGAAACCTGCAGGGGCTTGATTGCCTTGGTGGACGTATCCTTTAAAGAACATTTCAAATGCTAAACCTTGTTTTTCTTGATTTACCAATCACTCTGAATGACTCTAGCGTCAGGTCCGAATAAAATCACAACGTTCTGATGATAAGTTCAAGTTTGTGATAAAAATTCTTTAACATCCAAAGGTTGACCATAACAGGAGGATGACCATCACTGAATTCAGGGCCCTCTGGAAGAAGATCACCGAATACAAGGTGATGAAGCCAATACCGGCATGAAAAGTGTACATGTTTTTACCAATTCAGCACTTACGACTCTCATGACTCTATGGCTGATGTAATCAAAAAAACAATTGGACTCTATGTTGAAAGTGGTTTTAAAAATGTGGTTTAATATTTTTTGTAGAAAGTCTTTGATCGTGCAGATTTGAATAACAACGGAAGCCTGTCTGACTACGAGGTCCAGAAAGCAATTCAGGCTTCAGGTAACACTATTTATCAATGAAACTCTTAATAACCTTCATCCAATTGAGATGATCCTGTTTGATGTTCACGGATCTAACTGCAATACTGTCTCCTCCTGTGTGTATCAGGATTGGATACCAACGATGCGATGGTGAGGCTGTATGTTTTCCGCTATTCGGGCTATTCCTCCACCGATTTGGGTGGCTTCATCAGTCTCATGTTGCGCCTGGAGAAGATGTCAAGTCAGTAACATGGCAACCAACCAATTGTGCCGCTTTTATTTTTGTTTAAGATTATTATGCAGTTTGAGAGAAAACTGAAATACAGGTGTGTGTTAAGACATTTCTGATTGAGATGGCCCCATAGTGTTTTAGTTTAAAAAGAAACAATACAGAACAGCAACATTGAAATCTTTGGCGCTTAACTCTTCAAGAATAAAAAAAAGTATGTTTAATCTCACTATTAAAAGTACTAACATAAGGCAATTTTCCACTTTCAAATGTAAAGAATGCTACTTACAGCCTGCAACACAGCCCAAACAGTGGATTTTAACAATAGAAGCGCCTCTAACAATTGTCAGAGTTTAGATTTTTAAGAATGTACTAGGAGTGACCCATCAGGTTTCAGGGCCGGAGTATGGCACCCCTCTAGACAAACCGCTGCTCACATGCACTTTGCTGATGATATATTTTTACAGTGCAATGCTTCTACATTTTCTAAATTAGTTTTTAAGCTTATGTTGTATTTTAACAAGCTGACTTTCGTTATTTGATTTCCCTACAGATGTCTTCAAGGACAAATCCTCAGATGGAGTGATCCACCTGACCTGGGATGAGGTCAGTCTATTTTTTATTGTTTTAAACGTACACGTGACATATGTGACAGAAATATTTAAATCTTCTCCTGCAATATTAAACTAGTCCTGTATTGATCATTTTAATTAATTATGTCTTTTTTTGGTAAAATGTAAAAGAAAAAAAAAAGTGAAAAACACTCACACAATGCAGAACTGCACTTCATTTACAGCAGTACATCATATTTTGTGAGCACATATTTTTGATGAAAATGCTAAGCCTATGAAGAATTGATAAGCTAAAACTGTCAAAGAAATGTATGAAAAGCACACTTCCCTTTTTAAATATAGTTTTTTTGCAGAATAAAGTAGGAAAACGTTAAGTGATGTAATGAAAACGTGAAGTGCTTGAGTAAATACAATTATTTGCAT